TATATGTGATATGATAGATATATCTAAGCTCTATACACGTATTATGATATACATATCTCATCTATGTATATGTGATATGATAGATATATCTAAGCTCTATACATGTATTATGATATACATATCTCATCTATGTATATGTGATATGATAGATATAGCCAAGCTCTATACACGTATTATGATATACATATCTCATCTATGTATATGTGATATGATAGATATAGCCAAGCTCTATACACGTATTATGATATACATATCTCATCTATGTATATGTGATATCGTAGTTCTTTATAACTAATGAGCGGACAATTCCTGTTCTAAATATAAAATACTCGATTTAAAATGCCCTGTTTCGTGTACTAAATGTGGCATTTGGGCATTCTTTGTTTAATTCCAGATTTTTAAGTATATTATTTTGATAAATTTAACCTTAGATCTGTGTGGGTGACTATCTCCTTGTTCACAGGGGTCACAACCGATGAAATAGAAAAGGTCTCGTTATCTTACGTCATTCAGCTTACGTCATCAACAACTCACTCCGTTGTTTCCGGTAGGTATATCCGGCATTAAGTATTTTCAAACAGAGCGACAAAATTTGCCGTACTGAAACGTATAGATTATCTTATGATAATCCTGTTACAAAAACAAACTAGGACGTAGAAAGTCCAGTAAAAGTTCTGCTAAGTTACGTTAATATATTAAGTAAAATATTTGTGTAACCAAGTTTAGTTACTGCGTTTAAAAGTATTGGAAGCGACGCATTGATTCAATAAGTAAAAACGTTGCAGAAACTATAGGATCTTATTAAAAATTAACCGAGTTACTTCGTATCAACATTATGAAATAAAATATTCCAAGAAAAAAGAATAATATTAGGTAGTGTAATGAAAGAAACAACTTAAAAATCAAGTAATAAACTCAACACTAACGGACCATCATAAAATATTGGGTTGAAACAAGTAACTTGGAAAATTAACTAATAAAATATTCTAAACTTGTTATAAAAATCTTTTCGGTACTCTGTTTCAAAACTTTAAAAAAATAAACATTGTAAAGTGTTTTAGTTGTGAATTTTTTATATTTCAGTATATCTCTTCGCGGGCTAAGTTAGTTCTGCGGTTTTTAAATTTTGCAATATATATCTATGTATGTGTAGGATACTTATTTTAACAGTGTATCTATGTATATGTATGATATTTATTTTAACAATGTATCTGTATGTGTAGGATACTTATTTTAACAGTGTATCTATGTATGTGTAGGATACTTATTTTAACAGTGTATCTATGTATGTGTAGATATTTATTTTAACAGTGTATCTATGTATGTCTAGGATACTTATTTTAACAATGTATCAGTATATGTCTAGGATACTTATTTTAACAATGTATCAGTATATGTCTGGGATACTTATTTTAACAATGTATCTGTATATGTCTAGGTGACACATTGTTAAAATAAGTATGTATATGTCTAGGATACTTATTTTAATAATGTATCTGTATATGTCTAGGATACTTATTTTAACAATGTATCTGTATATGTCTAGGATACTTATTTTAACAATGTATCAGTATATGATATTTATTTTAACAGTGTATCTATGTATGTCTAGGATACTTATTTTAACAATGTATCAGTATATGTCTAGGATACTTATTTTAACAATGTATCAGTATATGTCTGGGATACTTATTTTAACAATGTATCTGTATATGTCTAGGTTTTAATAATGTATCTGTATATGTCTAGGATACTTATTTTAACAATGTATCTGTATATGATATTTATTTTAACAGTGTATCTATGTATGTCTAGGATACTTATTTTAACAATGTATCAGTATATGTCTAGGATACTTATTTTAACAATGTATCAGTATATGTCTGGGATACTTATTTTAACAATGTATCTGTATATGTCTAGGTTGTTTGTTTCGAGTGAAACAATTGAAAATATGAATAAATTTATCTTACTTCTAAACAAACTTTGAAATTCATTAAAAATCCACATAAGATGATTTGTGAAGCTGTTTTCGGTACCATCCGCCTGGTGTATAGCTGATAAAATACCAGTTTGCGTGTCCACTAATAATTGATAAGAAAGAGTTCATCAGACAGACAAGCAACAATGTTTTTAAAAATAATCTTCAAACTATATAAAATGTGATGGTTTGACATCTTGTTTTTTGTTGTTCTTCTTTTTTTTTCCAGAAAAAAGTACACTTCCCGACTCGGCGTCGTCTGTCTCATCTCCGCAGGTCCTCTCAGTGTTCCTGGTTATTGTTACTTGGTTACGCCATTAAACAGTGTTTGTCAAGAACTTGGAACTCAGAAAGCTGAGAAAAGCACTTTTCAGACAGTGCCGACGAAGGAAGAGCTACGAGTAGGAGCCTGTCATTGTTATTTGAAAGTGTTGATTGACAGACAAGAAAAATTAGAAAAGCTTACTTCTGGTATGTGCCAAAGTTAACAAAGAAGACAAGCTACTACCGCGACATCTGGTGTTGCTCAAACTGGACTCGTATTAAAATAGCTTAAAACAAAATTTAATCATCTGAGTTTTTCATTTTCTAAAGTTTCTTTCTATTCAGTCCTAACGTTCTTTGATAGACTTGTATCGACTAGGAACTAACAAATATACGCTTCGAATACAGTCTGGTTTTTGAGACGTAACTGAGATGTCGTCCTGAATGTATGTGTCAGAAGAACAAGTTCTAATAATTCTTTAATCACTTCTTGGATGTCGATTTAAGGGACTGTCTTAATCTCGAAACATTATCTCACGTTACGTTTGATGTGCAAAAATTATTATATGTCAACTATTCTTCTGAAATTTCTAATGGAGCTTTCTAGGATTGTCCTCTAAGTTATTCATTATCACGTGCTTCAAAAATCTCTAAACCAACAGGAATAAAAAACACCATTTAACAGAAAGAATCTCGTGCTGTTAGTAATGTGTCAATGAGAAACTTAAAGAACTTCAAGTATCCAGACCACTAATATATGGACAGTCCATCCTGTATCCCCTTACAAATACGTAATTCGCAAGTTTTCTTCTAGTATCTTCAATTAACTTTTTTTATCCTCAACTTTGTGAAAGAAAATAGTGAAACTTATTGTATTATTGTAAGCCCCACTCCGTTCTTCGATTCGCCAATTTGCATCGAATCAAGCTTAGGTTCGAGGATTTAAATTCCTTCTTAGTAATCCTGAACACTAGCAGATGGAACATAGTGACAAGCCTTAATGGTTGTGAACTACACGTGTTTTAGAATCAATGTAGGTTATTAATAGTGAATATTGACATAAAAAACTCCTGGTATCTTTCAAGAGCATCCTATTGCTAATCCTAGAATTCCAAAACCAGCCAGCCACAGGAAATATCTTGTTTTTAATCTTGGAATTCTCTAACCTCCTGTCCATATGAAGTATCCTATTGCTAGCTTTGGAATTCCCTAACCTGCCATCCACAAGAAATATCCTACTTGTAACCTTGGAATCCCGTAAACCATCAATTTGGTGTATCCTATTGTTAATCTTGGAATCCATACATCTGCCATCCATATAAAGTATCCTATTTTTAACTTTGGAATACAATAACCTACTATCCATTTGAAGTATCCTATTGTAAACCATCAATTTGATGTATCCTATTGTTAATCTTGGAATCCATACATCTGCCATCCATATAAAGTATCCTATTGCTAACCTTGGAATACCCTAACCTATCATCCATATGAAGTATCCTATTGCTAACCTTGGAATACCCTAACCTATCATCCATATGAAGTATCCTATTGCTAACCTTGGAATACCCTAACCTATCATCCATATGAAGTATCCTATTGCCAACCTTTTGAAATCCCCATCTTGATCCATTAAGTGATTCATTCTTTTTGAGTGATTTGAAATTCTCTCTCCTACGTATCATCAAGAAACTCAGTAAAGGTCATTTTAGTATATTTGAAATCGGTGTCAAACCATCTAGACTACGTAATCAATATTGTTTATCCAATTCTGAGATTATACTGCTCATAATCTTAAATAAATCTCTCACAATAATCCCGAGGATCAATAAGGCAAGACTCTCTATTATTAGCTTACAATTTCGTTTTGGTTATGTAAATATTTCTTTCTGTTCAATTTTTACCAAACTTTAGATTAAAAAAAAGGTTTGTGGATCCAGTTTATCTGCAATTACCTTATATGTCCTTATAAACTTCTAATTTGTTTAATCGTGACTGAAAGAAACCATTCCTAAATTTTTATGTTTCGTAAAAAAGTGAATCATTCCATGTTCTATTATAGTTACTTAATTAAAATTATTGATTATAATGATTAAAATACTTTATTTTATTTTAATTAATTGTTAAGCCTATGAATATTGTTTTCTAATGTTGACCTAGTATATGATGTTAGGGCTAAACTATGAGTACTGTTTTCTAATGTTGACTTAGTATATGATGTTAGGACTAAACTAACTCTTTTTAACTGTCTGAACCTCGTGAGATATTTCCGGAATAGGCTGAAATTATCGTTAATAGTAAAAATATTTAATTGATAATTCAATACAGTCTAACTATTATCGGTTTCAGTTTTCTTATCCACTGTTTTATAATATCATGTAATTTTTGGGATATAGAACGAATTGGCTTCGTTAGTTGTCTAAGTTTGTTTTGAGTTCTGAACTATTTAGTTATATTATTTTTCAACAGAAATCTAATTAAATTATCACCTTCAAATTTGATCTTAACTCTTCTATTTTATACCACTTATAAAGAACACTTGTGCGAAATAACGTTTGTTAGTGTTAAATGTAATGAATATTCATTTAGGTATAATGTTAGTTTGAGCTGGTAAAATAACAATATTGACTTATGTATGAAACAAGTTTAGCTGGTAGAATAACAATATTGACTTATGTATGAAACTACTTTGAGCTGGTAAAATAACGATACTGACCAGAACCATAACATTAACTCAGTAATTAATGTAATATACCGGTGTAATTAGGAGAGTAATCCCCGCGGTGACAGAGTATATTAAAACAAGCTATATACATCGACCAGAACCAAAAAATTAACCCAGTAATTAATGTAATATACCGGTGTAATTAGGAGAGTAATCCCCGCGGTGACAGAGTATATTGAAACAAGCTATATACATCGACCAGAACCATAAAATTAACTCAGTAATTAATGTAATATGCCGGTGTAATTGGGAGAGTAATCCCCGCGGTGACAGAGTATATTAAAACAAGCTATATACTTCGACCAGAACCATAACATTAATCCAGTAATTAATGTAATATACCGGTGTAATTAGGAGAGTAATCCCCGCGGTGACAGAGTATATTGAAAGCAAGCTATATACATCGACCAGAACCATAAAATTAACCCAGTAATTAATGTAATATACCGGTGTAATTAGGAGAGTAATCCCCGCGGTGACAGAGTATATTGAAACAAGCTATATACATCGACCAGAACCATAAAATTAACCCAGTAATTAATGTAATATACCGGTGTAATTAGGAGAGTAATCCCGGCGGTGACAGAGTATATTAAAACAAGCTATATACATCGACCAGAACCATAAAATTAACTCAGTAATTAATGTAATATACCGGTGTAATTAGGAAAGTAAAATGTCATAAAACATAGAATTTCTATCACATATCAAAATTATTTTGACACTTGGTGGCTCAGCGGTGAGACTTATACTACTTAAATGTGATGTTTGATCCCTCTTGTGGGCACAGCTCTGTTAGTCCATTTTACCCTTTGCCCTTAAACAAAACAAACTTAAACCTTCCGGACGTATTTGTTTACTTGCATTAAGTTAAACGTCATTTCCTTTTCTTGAAATGATCCAACCCTCGTAATTAGCGAAGTGGAAATGCTTTCTACATGTACGAAAATATAGTTTCATTCGTGAAATACTTTTCTTCTTGCCTAAACTTAACAACCTCCGTATCGCAACTGTACAGTGCGTGATGTTAATAATATCGCTATTATGTTTTTATACCAGCATCTACGTCCCCACAAATCAGTGAGTTAAATTAGTCTTCCGACAAAAAAAAAAAATGTCAAAGAAACGGAAGAAGGGAAATAATGATATCCTTCTTCAAAGAGATAGTATAGCAAACACTTTCGACTTGGCTAAATAAAAGTATAATTTGAAATTCTCGGGCAGTGCTTATTTTTTAGCCATTCCTTGGGGAAATGAAAGATGTCGAGAGGACCGCACCGCCAACGGTATTACGGTGCATTCAGGTTTCACGCTGTGAAAGCAGAGGACGGAGAAGAGCGTTAAAGATCGATGCGATCTCTTATTACCTCATTCAAATTCTCTATGTAATCAGTATTCCCGCCTTCCTTCAGACTAAGAGCTCGAGTCCGTTGCTCTTCTATAAGAATATCCTCGTTCAACTGAAAAGCAAGTTTTGTCGCTGTCTAGAACTGAACAAGTGTTTTCAGACGACAAACAAGTTCAGGAGGTTCTATAAATATGAACAAATAAATATTAATCGAGCATTCGACTCATTTTCTTTGCTGATTCATATCTTACTTGTGCAAATATATATTGCTGGGATTGTATTTAACCGAAACGTTCAATAAATAGTTGTCATTCAAAGTCACGTGTGTGTGTGTGTGTCTGATATTTTTACTCACTTTGTTGATAACATTCTGCATTTGTAGAATGATGAGTACATGAGGATACTGAACACCCCGAGTTTTCACATCTTAGTTAAAACATAATAACATTCTAGTGTTAAATAAGGACGCTGAACACCCCGAGTTTTTACATCTTAGTTCACACATAACAACATTCTAGTGTTAAATAACGACGCTGAACACCACGAGTTTTCACATCTTAGTTAACACATCTAGTGTTAAATAAAAACGCTGAAAACCCGAGTCTTCACATCTTACTTCATAAAGAGCATTCTAGTGTTAAATAAAAACGCTGAAAACCCGAGTCTTCACATCTTACTTCATAAAGAGCATTCTAGTGTTAAATAACGACACTGAACACCCCGAGTCTTGACATCTTAGTTAACACATAATAACATTCTAGTGTTAAATAACGACACTGAACACCCCGAGTTTTCACATCTTAGTTAACACATCTAGTGTTAAATAAAAACGCTGAAAACCCGAGTCTTCACATCTTACTTCATAAAGAGCATTCTAGTGTTAAATAAAAACGCTGAAAACCCGAGTCTTCACATCTTACTTCATAAAGAGCATTCTAGTGTTAAATAACGACACTGAACACCCCGAGTCTTGACATCTTAGTTAACACATAATAACATTCTAGTGTTAAATAACGACACTGAACACCCCGAGTCTTGACATCTTAGTTAACACATAATAACATTCTAGTGTTAAATAACGACACTGAACACCCCGAGT